AAAATAAAAATAGAACATATCAACAAATGGAGGACAGAACTAAAGCTGAGCTGAGAGTGAAATTTGTATAACTTCAAAGTTACATTAGAAAAGATAACAGGTCTCAAATACATGATTTAGCTTTTTAGCTCAAGAAAATACAAACATGTAGCAAACTTATAGGGAGCAGAATGAAGAAAATAATGAATAAAGATAAGAGCACAAATCAATGAAATATAAGCAATAAAACAGTGAGGAAAAATCAATGAAACAAGGAGCTGCTTCTTTGAAAAGATCAATAAATTTGATGAATCTACCAAGACTGACAAAACAAAAACAGAGAAGTTAAAAATCATCAATATTAGGAATTAGGCAGAATACCACAACACATCCTCAAGCTACTAAAATGTAAATAAAGAAACAACTATGAAGTTTGCATTCCTAAATTCTACAACTTATAAGAAATGGGTCAATTTTTTATATTACTCACCAACTTTTCTCTCAGAAAAAAATAAATAGAATACGTGAACAGACTTGTACACATAAAGAAATCGAATTTATAATTAAAAAGCTCCTAAAATTATAAAGTAAAAAGGTAATGGATTCATGTGAAAATCTCTAGAGTCAGGTGAACTCACTGGGGAATCTACCAAACATTTAAAGAAGATTTACCATCAATCTCACACCATTTATTTCAAAAAACAGAAGGGATGACCATGTTCCAATTTATTTTACCAGGCCAGTATTATTCTAATACCAAACTCAGATTCGTTTTAAAATATCTATTTGTAAATTTGTTTAACAGTTGATAAGTTCATTTTTTATTTCTTTCAGATATGTCCAAAATGCTGCAGAGGCAAGAATAAATCCAGATAGATAGATAGATAGATATAGATATAGATATAGATATATTATAGATAGATAGATAGATAGATAGATATAGATATAGATATAGATATAGATATAGATATAGATATAGATGTCTTTTTAAGTCAAAATGAAAAGAAAATTTAGATGGAAAAAACTGTATAGGAGAAAGAAATTTTTTCTTTTCCTTTCCAAAGTGCAATTGAGCACAAAATGTCTCAACTTCCCTCTGACATTTTTTGTTATTGATCAGCTCTGCAGATATAGAACCCTATGTTGGGTAGGGAGGTAAAAGTGCAGAGTTCCCATTTTACTCTGCTCTTAGGCCAATGTGTTTTAGGTCTACTGAACAATTAATTAAATATTGGCTGCCTTAGTAACATAAGCATACTGCTTTGATTCCAACATATTAGTTTTTATGGTCTTCCATGTTAGGCAATGAAGGTAAAGCTACTAACTGTTTTACTACTTTTCCAAGAAAGCAGTTAACACACATAGGCATTTAAAATCAGTCAAGCCCGAGCATTTCTTTCAACTCTGTCAACCTTGGTGCCCAGGGTAATTTATTTTACCTCCCTAAGTGATCGTTTCTCCCATCTACAAAGTAAGGAATACCAAACTCAGGTAGCTAATATTTTCCTTATAATTTTGTGATGAGGATTAAACTGTCAGTAAATACTGAATACAACAACTAGCCCATAAGAGTATTGAACAAGAGGCAGATATAATTATTGCTAAAATTTTTGTGGCCTTAAAGATTTTTTAAAAATTTTATTGGTACATTTTGGGTATACAAATAATGACATTCATCTTTGGTGATTTGTACCTTTACATAATATATCTTGACTTTTATTTTTCCCACCTTAAAGACGTTTTTAACAAGAGTAAAATTGTAACACAAACACTAACTGACTGAAATAAACCTAAAACATTAAGGATGAAAATGTTTGTTACTTGAAATCTCATTTTAACTTTTGACCACTGAGAAATATGTACTCAGGTAGGAAACTTTCACTTCCAAGTATTTTAAATCCTGAATGACTTAAAACCTACTCTTATTTTACCTATACCATAGTATAGGTAACTGCTCTACTTCATAATCTTGGGTTATCAATAATTAGCTCACTACAAATTGTTCCTTCTATTTTGGGTGTACATAGTAGTGTCAGACTTGTGATAAACAATATGTTTTCATCAGAGATATTTAGAGTTTATAAATTTCTTCATGCAGGCAATGGTAAAATCCAAAGGCGCTATGCAATTCCACCATTTGATTTCTCCAAAGTTTCTTAATATCAGTGGCCTTTACTTATAATTATTACTGACATGTTTATCTTCCCTATGTTTAGACATTTCCCACCTACTTAAAGGGTAAAGAGCACAAAAGCACCACAAGGAAGAATTATGTTTTCTTACTGGGAAAGTGTAATTTAAGCATCCTATTTAATCATTTATAAGGTATCCGAACCCTTCATAAAAATTTACTGAGTATAGTTTAAAGGTCTAGGGAGATGTAACTGACAGGTCTCAATTCTGTGCGCAAGTTAGGAGAGAGAAAAGATGCTATTGCAATTAAATAAAGATAATGAAGAAGGCTGAAAAGCAAATTGGGATTAGAATCTCATTTGGTTTTCATGAACATAATTTTGCCCCAATCAAAAGATTAATCACGGACAGCTGAGGATGCTACAGTATCAGATGAGAATGAGAGAGGATAAGGACTGCAGAAGACACGGAAAGTGAGTCAGAGCTACTCTCCGGGACAGGATCACGCCAATACTGATCCAGAGTCTGACTTAAAGAAAAAGAAGTTCTATCTTCAAAGTCCTTCAGAAAGCCTGTTTTTTGCACTTACCTAAAGAGGCTGTTTCTTCTATAAGATGCTGTAGCAGCATAGGGTTACTCCTAGAAATGACCCTTCCATGTCCCTTTGGAAAGTCTCTTTTGGCTTCACTAGCTCTCCCAAAAGCTCCCTATTTGTTGGATTTGTAGTGTCTACTCACCACCACAGAGCCCTCAAATAGGTTAGGGACAACATCTACTTTCCCAAATACATGTTAAAGTGCCACAGCGAAAACTGGGTTGGGATTTTAGATCAGCTATCAGGTGTGGTGGGCTCAAAGACCGGAGCTCAGAGGTCTCTACACACCTGTGATGCTGTTGCTGCCTTCATTTTTCTCGCTACCCAGCCCCCACAGACCATATTCCCTGCTCTCCTGTCCTTGACATCTGAAGCAAGTCTTTGTTTTTATCTTGAGTAGGATGCTGCCTGGGAATGCATTTTTCTCATCACAGAGCTGTTATTTCTCTTTGGGAGTGGCATTTTGCGATAATGTGTGAGCATGGGGTTAGTCTAAGCCAACAACCAGCTCAAGCCTGTAGTTGGGACCAGTTGAGTCTTTCCCTGATGTAAATTCTAAATTCTCCCACAATGTTTTTTTAGAGGAAAAAGCCACATGTATTTTTTCTTGGGATGTTACTCAGTGAAGTGAGTGCAGAGGAGAAACAGCAACACAGAAGTCAGTAAAGAACCCAGAGTCGTCCTAAATTTAATTATGTTACTCTATTAACATTTTCATCCAGCTTTCTCTCTCCCTGAGAGTTTAGCTGATTCCAGCAAGTCTGTAACCACATACCTTTATATGATGACACTCTATCACAAAACTGAAATATCTCCTTAGAAATATGTCTCACACAGCACTAAACTAAATAAAAACATTATATTTCGGTATCTGCATCTTTCCACTTCTAAATGCATTCATAACCAAAGAGAAAATTTCTCCATGGCTTCAGGACCAAGGACTAGAAGATTACACATTAACATTTTTGCTAAACATTAGAGACAGCTCAAAATGCAAGCAACACATTATTATATCATATTGCTAAACTAATTGCAGTAATCACCAAAATGACTCAGACAGCAACATTTCCAACTATCAAGAAAATATTGCCAAATACTTTCTTAAAAAATAATTTGAAAATTTTTGTTCTTATTTCTTTAAAAGTATTAGGTCTATTCAGAAATCAAATAGATTCTTTCCTGAGCTAATACAACATTGAAACAAGACAAAATCTGGCTTGCTGCTAAAAATTTCTCTAATTCTTCTCTCTGATTCTTTAAACCATAAAATTAACTAAAGAACACGTAGTCATTCACATTACATAGGAATTTAATTCTTTGTCCAATCTGACAAAATACTAGGAACATCAGCCTTAGCATTCTTAGGGGTGAGTGATTGGCAGGAATCCATGGAAAGGATTTTAGAGTTTTTCATAACTTATAGACTGGTACATATCAAGTATATGTTACATGCATATATCTGTACATATCACATAAGAGTATAAACATATTCAGTGCAGAGATCAGATCACAGAGCAGGCATCTATGAGCACGAGCACGGACTCTTTTCAGGACCTACTTACAGAAGGCAGAGTCTCCCAGTCAGACCATCTTCAGCATAACAATTACAGGTCCCCCACCCCGCTGCCCTGCAGTTGGTCAGCAGAAAAGACACAAACCTCTCCCTAGCGCGAGTCACTCAGCCCTGCTAGGTTTATGCTGCCCTCTGGTAACGGCATTCCATTAGGAGTGTGACACAGTAGGGAAAGAGACCGGTTCACTGTGAGACCTGCTACTCACTCTCGTACAGTGTATCGGCCCCCCTTCCCACTGCACAGTGGCTGCCGGCTCTGGGCAGGAGGCAGGTGGCCATCATGAGTGTGAACCACGGAGCAGAGTTCCACGGAGACCCACGCTGCATTGTCAGTAGCCTTCTTCTAAAGACAGTGCTTGCTAGGATGCTATCAAAATAATCGAATTTGGCTCCCTAGCCTTAGGAAAAATTGGAAAGTATGAACTAGGAAGTTAGGGATGTGGTTGTCTCTCTGCTTTAATATAAAGTGAGAAGATCCAAAAATAATTCAGGGAGCCTGTGTTTAGGATGCACACCTGGTTGGTACAGGCTTCACCTCCTTCTTGTACCTGTTAGTTTTCCACACAGTGTCGATCGAATGATTTGTTAGCTTCTCTTGGTGGGAGAAATATGCCAATTTAAACTGTCAAGCCTGGGTTCTAGTCCAAGGAGAACACCTACAAAATTCATCAGCAAATATAACTGGGTTTGAAGAAAGAATGGGAAACAAATTCCAAGTACCTGCTTGCTGTGCTGCCTGTGACATCTGCTGACTCCTCTGAGCATTATACTGAACTGAGGCCATGGGCTGGTACTGCTGTGAGGTTGAGGTAGGGTACTGACCAGATGGATAATAATACACAGGCATCTGTGGAAGACAGGTAGAGAAAAGCAGGGCATGAGAACTGTACATAAAGAACCACTTGACCAGATATGATGACGCATGTCATAATCCCAGCACTCCTGAAAGGCTGAGGCAGGAGGATCTTGAGTTTGAGTTAAATCTAGGAAACTTACAATTTAATAACACCATGTTAAGATGACAGCGGGGGTGGGGGGTAAAAGGGAGGGAGGAAGACAAGGAGAGGAGGGGAAGAAGGAGGGGAGAGGAAGAAGGAAGGAAAAGGAAAAGAAAAAATATAGCCTTTAAAACACAATGTTATTTTATGATGCAATTCGATTCAGGTAGACAGTTATGATGGGTTACTTTAAACATTTTGCATGCCTGTATGAGCAAGCTACTTCTCCTGTGATGAGGTGGAATCCACTGCACAAGCCCCTGAATCTGTGGCTCGTGGCCACTTGACCAACAGCAGCAGAGTGATGCTTGACACTTGTAAGTCTGAACCTTAAGAACGCTTGCGACTTTGATTCCTGTAGGACAGACCCCAGCCACTAGGAAAAGACCAGGCTGTTCTGCTGTAGGAAGGGACCACATGGAGACCAGTGGCAGCCTGGCCAAAAGGCCACCTACCCTCCAAGTACATGAGTGCAGCCCCACTTAAGCTGCTCTGTGGGACAGAAACACTCATCTGTGTGTTAAGCACTGCTATTTCCTGATCCAGTCATGAGCAGCATGATGGATGCTTTAAAGTCTGTCCAAGCACACTGCACAGCGATGTGGATGTAACCAGTATTGAAAAAAAATAATGTTAAATATAAAAGTGAAAATATGTTAAAATTTTGTTTCCCCCACCTTCCATAACTTTCTAATGAATAAGAATAAAAGAAAATGTTATAATTACTTTCATTGAAATTAAATGTTTCCAGATCTGAAAAGACTTTTTGCCTGCCTTAGGTCATTTATATTATGATAATCATTTTCCATTTTCAGGCCTCTGACCTTTCTTCTATCATCTTCTCTACAGGGAAAACAGATAATCTCGCAGACAGATTACAAGTAGTGTATACATGGAATAAAATTATGAACCACTTATTTGAGAATTTTGATTTTATTTGCTATTTTATTTTCTGATTAGCTTTTGACAAGTAAGAAACATTTTTGTATTTCAATTTTGCTATTGAACATTTAGCATATTTTCTCCCCTCAGGATAAGTTGAAATAAAAGAGAACAATGTATGTGGCTCTGTGATACTGCAGTTCGGTGGAATTATTATGAATTATGATTCTGATTAACGAACAATTAATTAACAATAGAGATATTGAAGAGTAAGGGCCTGAATGGGTCTAAAGTAATCATGGGTAAGAATCTGGCAACTCATTTCATTCACTGTATGCCTTATGTACAACGATTTGACCCTATTACTTATGATGTAGGGTTATGATTTAATCCTTTTTTGTAAAGGAGTTTTTACAGATAAAAATCTAAATAATCGTGGAGCACTAATAGGTTTTATTTATGTTCTGGCAAAAACTGTGGTACAATATTATTACTATTATCCATCAGATGCCTCCCAGCATTAAGAATAAGAACACCTATCATCTAATTCATCTCATCAGCATTATATTTACATGTCTCTGAGAAACAATAGTATTTTGCTTCTTTAGAAAAGACTGGGTGTTGATTACATGTCAGGTCATAAATATGATACCCATTCTTTCATCTCCCTTTCTGGATTCAACATGAAACATTAAAATAAATTCAGGACTGAAAGATGGAGCTCAAACACTTGGGAGTATCCTGATGAGCACTAAAAATATTTGGATAAATGTGAAACTTTGTGCAAAAGATGTTGTAAAGCTACTCTTTTTTGTTTTGTTTTGTTTTGTTTTGTTATCACCTCTATCTAGCACCTTTCCACAGCAAAGCACTGCTCAGCTCCTAGGAATTAAGGCCTTGAGCCATGTGAAGCAAGCGGCTACTTTCTCTAGCCTCCTCCTCCCTCAGGAAAGAAAGTGAGCAAAGCTAAGAGGTCTCTTAAAGGATCAGCATAAATGGCTTAAAAAGAGAAAGGAGAAGGGCGAGAGAAGCAAATATGGTCCAAAGGAGACCAAGAGTATATTTTCACCCAACCATATTATAATATGGAGAATCCAAAAATGGTCAGAGTAAGACAGAAAGGAGAAAAGATAGAGAAAGGAAAATGATAAAAAATAAACTCTTCTTTCATTGCCTTTTTTCAAGAGTTCTTTGCCTTGTCTATGTGTTTCCTGTTTACTCCTGCTGGTGAACTTTGAGAAAGCACAAACAATTGAGAGGAAATTGACCTTTGAGCCGCTGTTGAATGACTTTTGTCTATAATCCTCTATTAAACATTCTGACAACTGGTCTCTGACAGCAGAAATGGGTAAGGGTACTGCGATGCTGTTTAGACTGAAACCTAAGCTATATTTTCCCAGTAATTAAACTAGAGGAATTTAATTTAAAGGGAAAATAATATATTAATGAAGTTCTTCATTCCTGTATCTTAAAATCATTTTTCCTATATCTTTAAATCCCACGAGGGAAGATGTATTACCTAGCTGGTGACTGAAGATGAGCTGTTAATCAGTCACTCAAAATAAAGTGAACAACTGAGTGCAAATCATCTCATGGTAGAGGGTTTTGTGTGTCTTGAAGAGAAAATAATTTATTCAAGATGTTAAGGCAGTGAAACAAATGACACAAAGGTGACACTGCACTTTACACAGCTCATGCAGTGCAATGCTTCATAATTAGGGTGGGACTTAGTTGCGATATGTGTGCTTTGAAAATGGACCAGAAAATGCCTGTGTGCATTTTATATCTTGACAGTAATCACATCTAATATTCTGCAAGGCATACCCAGGAGAGCACCAGTGATGCTTGGTGGTGAACAGTAACACATAATCAGTCTTTGAGAAGACAGTAAAAATCAGTGATCTGTGGTGTCTTACATGCTCAAGCCAATTAAATATGATTAATAGCTACCTGTGAAAGCAGGCATGAGCTATGCTTCCCCTTAGGGAGAGGAAAGGACAGTGGATATTGGCTTGCTCTTCTCCTTTATATTCATAGAGGAGCTCTTGCCTGAAGCACCAGATTAGCTCCTGAAAAGGCTTGTGAATTGATAAGGGGGGGGGGAATCCCCATATATTTCCAGAGCAGGACAAGAGGGTTCAAAGTGCCTAGGGACATCCCTTCTCCTTCCCCAGGGCTTTCCTCCCCTGGGCAATCCTGTAAGTAAGGCAAATGCAAATGGAAGTGAATGTTTTTTAAGTCTGCGTCAGAAGCTTGGAAAATAGAATCTTTCCTGATCTTACCATGGGCAGCTTCACTCAGCTGACTTTCAGAGCCTCCTGACTGTGCACGAGTAATGAATAAAAGGACAAAACAGGTTAGCATTGGGGAATGAACCAGATGGGCAAGAAGGAGTGACCTGGCAATATTCTAAGCAGAAGGGCAGAGGTGAGAAGAGCACCATCACTCAGCTAGGTCACATGTGGGATGCAAAGCAGACCTACCTGTGTGGGTGGAGGCTGTTGCACAAATCCCTGTGGTGAGGGAGGGGGCTGAAGAACTTGCTGGGAGATGGGAGGGCCAGAGCCTGAGAAACCTCCGGTAGAAAGCTGCTGGCCCGTGGAGGCAATGACATAGCTTTGCTGCTGGGTGGGTTGTGGCATGAGAGAAGACTGGTAGACTGGACCTGAAGGGGGTTCAGGAGTCTCTCCTGAGGACTGGCGGCTCAGGTTCATCTGGCTGAACTGTGTGGCCACATCGTCTCTCTGTCATCCGGGAAAATAAATGAGGAAATCAATAAGATAGGCTTGGTAATGAATGAGAGACATACATTGAAGAAGACACAGGACACACACTTGTAGTTGTGGGACAAGGAAGTATAAATGGAAAAGAAAGTAAAGAAATTCTTTAGCCAAAATAAAGCAAGAGGGCATTGCATGAGCAATCACTTTCATCATCCTGAATCAGAGATGGTAAACTATCTGAATCAACTCCTTTTGATGGCAACACTCTTTATCTAGAGCTCTAGCTCTTGGGCATGCAAATACAGTCAAGGAAAGCTTGGTGTCCTGTGGTGAAAGGCCAGTTGCTCTTCTCAGCTGATGGACCTGCCTTCTGGAGAGAGGCAGATTCACCTGTATTTATCATCACCCACTGCTACTATAAAGATAGAGCCAGTTCTGGGTCACCAGAGGATCACATGCCTAAATCAGGGCTATTAACTCTCTGACGCTCAAGATTTAGGGACAGTGCTCACTATTTAAGCTGCTGCTACAAAAGACCTACCTCTCTGAGGGGAGAATGAAAGAAAATTAGGGACTGGAGACTTCAGGAAACATCTACATCTGGCACCTAGCACAAGAAATGATGGTTGCTACCCAGATTCTGACTTTGAGATATTCTCCAAACTTTCACACAAAGTTTATATAGCTCTCTATTCCTGACTTTTAACTCTGAAGGTATTCAATTCCTGCTTAGCTTGTAAATGCTTAAAAAGAGAGCACCAGCCACAGAAGCACATAACATAGGACAGACAGTTCACAGAGAAAAAACAAGATATTTTTCAGAGTTAGGTTGACTTGTTCAGGGATGAGACATTCACACACAAATCCCCACCTCACAGTCAACCCAGGGTACCCACAGCTATCAGCCAGAGTCACTTGGGTAAACAGGAAAACCAGTGGACATGCTCTCCAGGGGAAAAGTCATGTGCACATGATACAGTACCATGGGGAAGTGCTGCGTTGGAGACACAGACAGGAGATGTTGGGGAGGAAAAGAGACTGCTGGATATTGCACTGACTGGGAGGATGCCTGTAGGCCCTGGACAGGCTGGAGGGGGGAAAAAAAAGCTGATCAGGTAACAGGAAAACACTGGAGTTAAAATCCTCTAGGAAGAACACCACTGTCTCTAAAATGTCATTGAGATTCATTGCAGCCCAGGGAAGAGAACCAGCCACCAAAGGAAAGTCAAGACCACCAGACTACGTCCTGTGAGACATTCTGGAGGGAGACACGTCTGCACACAGTGAACACTCCTTTTAGAAGTCAGTGATGTCCATTTGACGTTACTGTTCACTGGGTTCTCTGGGTCTAAAAATATTGCTCAAGGACTAAGAAGTAAGAAAAAAATAAAAAGGAGGTTCACTCTGGTCACCTTCCAAGACCGATTCAGGTTTCTATGGGAGGGTAGCTTTGCATCTTTACAGGTAGGAACAGCCAGTCCATGTGGGATTGGTCTGGTCTGATTTCTGTTCTTCCCATAAATAATGAGTTGGATAATGACTCTGTACACATGAACATCTGATCCGAGATGGAACTCAACGATCAGGATGATGTAAAAGCCTGGAGGAGATTGTGAGTTCAATCTCCAAGACTGATATTCCTTGATACATGAAACAGTATCCAGACCTGAGAAAGCACTGATTTTTCCTTTTACCTGCTCTCAACCTGCAGGTATTAGTGTTGGATAAGGTATACATTTCTCTCTAAACTTAAGGAGCAGATGAAATTCTGTGTAAAATCAAGGGTTCTAAGGTGACAGGTTTTGCTTATGAGGCTTAAGTGTTTGTTGGTGGCACCACGTTCCTCTCTTGAGTTCTTCCCTTTCTTGCCTTCCAGGCAGCTCCTCACCTGAGTGACCAGGGTGCCCGCCATCTGCTGCTGCGGAGGCTGCACCTGCTGCTGCGTCTGAGGGGAGGGTTGCTGCTGTGGCTGCTGCTGGGCCTGCCCCACTATGGCGCTCCGCAGGGACTGCTGGCTGGCAGGTGGGTTGTATATTGCAGGAGTTCCATCGGGATTCACGAAGGGCTGGCCTACAAGGATCACAGCATGGTCAAGGTGAACACAGTCTCCTCCCTCCCAGAGAGCCCCACCCTGTTAGACACCTCAAGAGTAACCTAAAGTAAAAGAACAGGGAGGTGGAAATCCAAGACACCAGCACCTTCACCAGGGTAATGGTTTTACTGCTTGTGACTATAAAATAGCTGAAGCGAATAGCAAGTTAAGAAATAGCAAATAAATTCAGCACTTTCAGGGAGTTTTGCCAAAGGTAAATGTATCTGTGGACAGTGGCACCCAGTAGAGAGGCCTGTGGAGAAGCAATCCACAGGAAGCCCTATTCTCTGCTGCCCTGTACCCCACAAGAATCAGCAAGAAAACCTACACTCAGAGGTCCATTTATACAACTCTGCTTACATCCAGTCATGAGTTATTTACCAATACATGTATTTTGCTTCCTCTAAGCCTGGTCATCAATTCAGAATCATTATCAGTCCAAAAAAACACATGTGCAACAATTATAACACATTCATTTGCTCACTTCTTTAAGCAGACACAAGCAGGAATATACATGATTTTATATTTTAAACATGACGCATAATAATCTCATTACATATTAGCTTGTGGTACAGTTTAGTTTATATGTTTCATTTTGCCTTATGAAATAATGGCATGCTTCACTGTAATTTTTATTGCTTCTAAGTATTACATTGCTATGTATTTGTGGATTATTTTAGCATTTGCAAAATGGTACCATTTGAGACTCGTTAAGTTTTGCAGGGAACAAATATATTGTCTCCCTGTTTCTCAGAAGAGGAAATGAAGGTTCACCAGAAAAGATGCATGAATAAAAAATTTAAAGGAGGAGAATAAAGGGCAGCAAATGGGAGAAAGGAAAGGGGGAGATAAACGAGAGAACAAGTTTTCCAATGTCACAGGCACCTTACACATCCTATCTTAGCTCTTTCAACAACCCCACCCGTATGGAATCTTGTCTCCATTTTAGAAAAAAGAAAATCAGCCACAGAGAGACCATGCAACTTACTCAGCAATATGAAGAAACACTAATCTAGGAAATGATTCTGGTCAGGAGGACTCCAAAGTCCGTTCACTTTCCCTGACACTCAAATAATTTAAGTAAATCATTCAATTTTGCATAATGAACACAATTAGGAAACAACAATTGAAAGTTACAAATCTATGCATTAGAAGAGAGGAGAAAAAGAGGACATACTTAAAAGTGAAATCATACCTTGTATTGGCAGGATAAGAATGAAAGAAAATGAAAACATGAGGGAATGGATTGGCAAAATTGTGAAACTGAGCCCTTCTTTCCATTTTCCATAACCTTGCAACCCTACTGGAACGGGAGAGGTAGGGTTGTCTATAAAACATATTCACAGAAATAATTCCTAAGAACTGAGCAAAATGCTTGAGAGGAATGGAGCACTTAGAATGAGCTTGTGTTTCAGAGGAGCCATTTGTCTTAGCAACAGAGATGGTACAGGCCGTCTGCTCATTCTCCTTAGGCAAATAATCAAAGCCTGTTTTGATAGCCAAGGCTTGCACGATCTTCTTATCTAGGGTTAGCAGAGTGTGATGTTTTGTCCTTTAATAATATATATGAAGAACAACCAAGGATCCCCAGTCATATGAAAAAAATTATCAACAACAGGTAAAATAGAAACCTAACCGAGAGGAAACAGAATATTCTGGGGGGAAAAGTACATATGGTACTCATACAACCAGAACAGACTGTTAAAAAGTGAGATGCAAGCTAATTAATTAAAAAATGTTAAGTGAAATAAATCAATCACAAAACACATCTACTGTAGAATCCATTTATTATCTACAAGATCAGGCAAAATTAATTAGTGATAATTGAAGTCAGAAGCATGGTACCTTTGAAAAGAAATGAGGGAATCTATTGGAAACTGCACATGCTTATGTCTCAATCTGGCTGCTGCCGTTTGTACAGGTATTCCTACGCAAAATTTTATTGAGGTCTATGCTACCGATGTGTGCAGGTCATGCATTTCAGTTTCACATTTCATAATCAGAAAATTAAATTTATAAAATAAAATGGAACAGGTTGGGAAGACAAATGATGAGGTTCTATTAAAGCCTAACAAAATGCCCACAGGCAGAGAACAATGAACTTGACACTCAGCTCACTTTAGGAACTCAGAGAGCTTAGCATTTTCATCATTGTCAGAAATTTTGAGCCCAAATATATCCGTGTATATGTAATGAGAAACTTTAAATCCTGCATATTCGAGAACATGTCTGGCAGAGTACCAAGGAATGCCTTATAACAGCTCCAGTATCACCAACAATGTACTGTGAAAGGAAAACACATGTACCAGAAACACACTCACAAAATAATGCCAACATCTACTAAATCTGCCGGTATTTTTCTTTTATGTTCTCACTCTTCCAGGCACTTGATTTCCTATCATCACTGTCATTTAATTTTAACTTTATTTTGTTATTTCAGTTTTTGTTCATATAAAATAATAAGTTTTTTTTTTTAGATTGAAAACCTATACTCCACCCCCTTGCCAAGCCAGCAATTTGGAAATCAATACAAATTATTTCAAAAGGAAAACTACCAGCCTATTTAGTGTCCTCATCGTTGCTTTTCCAGTTTTTGTAGTTTACAAAGACAAATGGAAGATTTTATGTAGTTTAAAAATAAATCTCCACAGTAAGAAGAAATTATTGCAAAACCAGTATCACTTTGTGCTCACTCATGTGTGTATATATACTTATATATATGTAAATATATATATGTATATATGCAAATACACAAGACAGAAAGCCAAAAGAAAAGACCTTTACTATATTACTGTTCAATTTGTGACTCTCGATAGTGAGAAGTATGAAAAATTTATAGTTGGGGTTAAAACACAACCTCAACATATTGAGATACCTTTTTTGATAAGTTACCTATCTTTTTTTTGAAATATGACTGATGAAGGCGCTATGAGACAAAAGAGATTGTTCTAAATAATTGCATATAAAATGTACTAAGGATTTGCTTAAGTAGAGAGAGATAGCAAGATCTTCTGGAAAGAGATGGAAAAAATGAAAGATTGAAATTTATGCTCACGAAGGAAAGCACAAAGAACTGTGGAACACTGAACAAGTAGGACAGATGCCAAAGAAGCAGCCAAAAGGGATAAAAACATTTCTTGAGAACTCTAGGATAGGGAATGCTTGGTTTTTGAGTCAAATAATAACAGCCTCTCTGTATTCCATTTTCTGTCTACCTGAATAAAGTTACAACAAAATACAAACAGTTAGTTTGAATGAAAGCTACTGAAGACCAAAGAGGAAAGAAAGACTGGCTGGGCCTCAGCCTGCTCAGCCTCAAGGAGGAGTTTTCTATGCCAGATGCTACACCCATTGGCCCTGCAAGCTGCAATAGGTTTGTCGCACAAGTGAACAAGTGCAGTGACAGAAGCAAGCTGAAGTGCCTGGAGTTCAAAGCTGGGACAGAGAAGACAATTTCAATACAGAGTACTCAACCTTCTCAAACATGTGACATTAGATAAAAAACTGATCCACACTCCACAATAACAGGTACATATTATTCCAATAATATATAATCACTGAGTGATTGCACAGTGCCAAAAACTGTTATTTATTAATGGAAGCCAAAAATTCAATCAATCAATCAATCAATCAATCAAAGAAAAGCTGAGCAGGAGCCCTTCCTTCAAAACCTTATCAATGTGCTAGTAATGCACACAGGTCTTTCTCCAAAATAAACCACATACTAGCTCACAGAACATGTTTCAGTAAATGCAAAGGAATTGAAGTTATCCCCTGCATGTTGTCAGATCATAGGGCAATGAAATTAGAGATCAATAGTAGAAGAAACTATAAGAATTTCATAAATACACGGAAGTTGAGCAGCACACTCCTGAACGGGTCACAGAGGAAATTAAAGAAGAAATTAGACAGTTTCTACAATGAAATGATAACAAAAGATTTAAAAGAAGCATACCACAGTGATATATTTGCACCCGTGTTTATAGCGGCACAGTTTGTAATAGCTAAAACTTGCAAACAGCTCAATTGCCCATCAGTTGAAGACTGGATAAAGTTGTGGGTTTTCTATAAAATGGAGTACTACTCAACCATAAATAGTGAGAAACTAGAATCATTCATAGGAAAATGGCTGTGTATTGAGGCCATACTCTTAAATGAAATAAATAAGACACACGTGTAAATACTGAATAGTTTCTCTGGCGTGAAAAACTAAAAGTGTAAATAAGACCTAAATTGTATAATTGAAAATGTGAAATAGGAAGAAAAGGGCTAAAAGCATAGGGGAAGTGGGAGGGGTAGGGAAAAGGAAATAAGGGAAAAGAAAAAATATGAGAAAAGGAAAAAATGGAAACAAAGTCTTTGTAAATAGGGAAGGGTGGAGGGGGTGAAGAGAGGGCAGGGTATGGGGAAAAAATGAGAACCAAGATGTTATGTAAAAGTACAAGATCCGAATGATAAATGTAACTGTACTGTATACTTAAAAAGTACAAATAAACTCAATGAGAAAAAAATGATATCAGAATTGATGGCAAACAATGAAAGCAGTCTTGAGAGAGAAATGCATAGTAGTGAATACCCATGTTAGGAAAACAGAGGCAGCTCAAATAACCTAATGACGAAACTCAAGCTTCTACAAAAGGAAGAGAAGACAAACCCAAAGCTTATTCAAGGGAGGAAATTGTAAAGACCAGAGCAGAAATCAATGCAATGGAGACTGAGAATAATACAAATAAAAAAAAATCAATAAATCAAGGAGTTGGTTCTTCAAAAGAATAAACAAAATTGACAAATCCTTAGCAAACCTTATTTTAAAAATAGGAAAGAAAAGGCCCAAATCTATGCAAATGGGAATGAAAAGTATGGAATTACAGTGGGCCTAGCAGAAATCTAGAGGATCATCAATACCTACTTTGAGAGCATATATGACAATAAGATGGAAAACACAGACGAAATGGACAGATTTCTGGTTGCATATGTATTACAAGTTAAATGAAGAAGACCTACAAATTCTAAATAATCCAAAATTAATCAACAAAATTGAAAACATAATTAAAAACTTACCAAGGAAGAAGAGCCCAGGTTCTGATGGCTTGTCTGCTGAATTATATAAGACATTTAGAGAAGAACTACCACCAGTACTGTTTAAACTCTTCAATAAAATTGAAAAGGAAGCAATACTACCAAATTCATTCCTAGAAGCAAGCATCACTTTGATCCCAAAAGCAGAGAAAAGCCCAATTGAAAAAGAGAACTATAGGGCAATCCCCCTAATGAACATAGATGCAAAAATCCTCAATAAGATACTGGTAAACAGAATGCAGAAGATCATCAAGAGGATCATACATCCTGACAAAGTGGGATTCATCCCAGGGATGCAGGGCTGGTTCAACATATGCAAAGCAATAAATGTAATACACTATATCAACAGAGCCAAGGACAAAAAACATACAATCATGTCAATAGATGCAAAAAAAAAAGCGTTCAACAAAATCCAACACCCAGGCTGGGTGTGGTGGCGCACGCCTGTAATCCCAGCACTCGGGAGGCTGAGGCAAGAGGATTGTCTTGAGTTCGAGACCAGCCTGAACTACATAGTGAGTTCCAGGTCAGTCTCAACTACATAGTGAGACCCTGTCTCAATAAACAAACAAACAAACAAAACAACAACAACAACAACAACAACAACAAATCCAACACCCATTCATGATAAAAACCCTACAGAAAACTGGACTAGATGGCCTTTATCTCAACATGATAAAAGCCATCTCTGGAAAGCCAACTGCCAACAGCATAATAAATTGTTAAAATTGAAATCCTTTATGCTAAAATCAGGAACAAGACAAGGTTGTCCACTGTCACCATTCCCATTCAATATAGTTCTGGAAACATTAGCCACAGTAAGTAGACAAGAAAAAGAAACTAAAGGAATAAAGACAGGAGGAAATGAAGAAGCTAAATTGTCATTATTTGACACAATATTCTATTTAGAAGATCCAAAGAACCCCACCAAATGTCTTCTAGACTTAATAGCCCAATCCAGCAGAGTAGTTGGATACAAGGAATTGGAGAAACAACTCCCTTCACAAGAGCATCCAAAAAAGTGAAATACCTAATCTAACAGAAATAAAAGACCAGTACTCTGAAAACTACATGACTCTGAAAAGAGACTGAAGAAGATATCAGAAAAAAGGAAAGATATCCCTTTTTCCTGGGTAGGAACAAACAATATAGTGAAAATGACCATACTTTGAAAAACTGCTATATAGATTCAATGCAATCCCAATTGAAGTTCCAGTAGCATACTCCACAGTTTGTAATAGCTAAAACTTGGAAATAGCCCAGTTGCCCATCAATTAGAGACTAGATAAAGAAGATTAAAAAAATAGAATTGAGTACTAATCAGCCATAAGGAATGAGAGATTAGAGACATTTATAGCTAAATGGATGTACGTTGAGGCCATACTCAAGGGAAATAAATAGGACACACATGTGTAAATGTCATATAGCTTCTCTGGTGTGAGAAACTGAAAGTGTAAATCAGGATCAAAAGGTTTAATAGATAATGTGAATAGAAAGGAAAGGTGCAAAGGGGAAGGGGAAGTTGTTAGAGGAAAGGAAAGAAAGGAAAGGAGTAAATATAAGAAAAGGAAAAAGTGGAAGCAAAGTCTGTAAATAGGGAGTGGGGGAGGGGCTGACAGGAAGGCAGAGAAATGGGGAAAAAATTAGAACCAAGATGTCAAGTAAGAGATTAGGTACATGTGCATATTTACATGCACATGTAGGGTTAATCTACTAACTGTAAGTGGGCAGTTATAGAAGTCAAAGATAAGGTGGGATGGAAGAGTTAAGCAAGAAATGTAAAAGAATATAAAATAATCCACCAAGGTTAAGAACTATCTCCAGTAGTTAAACCAGGTTTAGAGATGCAAAGTTAAACACAAGAACAAAAGTTAAAGCCTTGGGATGAGAATAGAGAAAATAAGACTCTTCCTCCCAGGAAGAAGACTCTATCCAAGGCCTGAGAATGTGCTTTACAGTTCCTTTCTGCCTCCATACCTGGACTTCTAGGAATTATATAAGATAACCAGTTTCTTTTTGAACTCATCTTTGAAGAAGGCCCCTGTGCTCTACCTATCTACACAAAGCTGAGGCCAAGAAAGCATGACTGGGGGCTGGAGATTTAGCTCAGTGGCACCATAGCTGCCTTGCTGTGAGTCCTGAATTTGATCCCACTACCAAGAAAAAGAAATAGAAAAGAAAAGAAAGAAAGAGAGATGGCATGACTGGATTTCTTTCCTCTCTTGGATATCCACCAAGAGGTTTTTTTCCTTCTTTTTATTTCCAATAAACACTCCTAAATTCCTCCCTTTGTCCTCAAATTTATAATTTATTCTTCAGTTTTGGAAGACAACATGGGTTTTTACAAAAAGAATTGTTTCATGAACTGTTTCAATAATATTTATATATGTATTTCAATTTATAAAATAAATACATTCCACAAAGAAGAAATAATAATTCACCATGCATCTCATCAGTTAACCATCTTATAAATGTAGTAATGTTTTCCTTCTATTTCAGGGATATTTTAAAGTTTAGCATTTCTCAGATCAGGCAAATGTCTGGAGAAGCCACTCAACAGTATTATTATATCCTTTTCTTTAGTTGACATCCTTTTTCAAAAAAAATATATTTTGATAACAGCTCTTATTGACTCCATCCAATAAATAAGAATTGGAAGTTGGCACCAGAAGCACTCTATTTCTTATTTCTATAAACAAGATTATAGATGATAACATACACACACACACACCATGACAACCACACTATCATTACAAATAATATTCCTGCATTGTACCCTAAAATACTCTGCTGAGTTTCTTTGAAACACTATAATTTTGCTTAAAACAAATCATTCAAAATAAATGTGTAATGCGTACTTTTTTTTGAAAGCCCTCTATCTCAATTAAAAGGGAAAGAATTTAAGCCAACAGACTCAAAACATACTTTGATCAGTGCCCAGAGTAATAAATATGATCCTGGTCTTCTTTCAATTTCCTTTATAGTGCTTACAATGATCCAAATAAGACAAAGGCAATACAAAATCCTCCTGAGAAGTATCTAATATGGAACTTTCAAATGGCTTTCAGTAAAATGATTATGTCTTCTTCCCCCTCAAGCTTATGGTATTTTCAAAATGTATCAGTTAAACACCATGCTTGGAGAATGTGCCATACGTTTTATGAAAATGTGGCAATTATTCAAGTAACTATTTTACCACAGTTTCTGTGTTTCTCTGAATTTGCTAATTACTTGTGCAACTCTATGTGTGAGAAGATTGAGTTAGATTGGTTTTATGAGATATTCATCTAGTTTTACATTTTCAAGCTTAGCTAATTGAAGAAACTTGGAAATATTCTAAACTAACTTTCAGATCCATCTTGAAACCATTCTATTTTTAAAAAGTCACTAGTAAAGGATTCCTAGGAAGTGACTCATCAAGCCAAGCTTTCTAAACTAGGGATTCTTGACTACAGCTCTACTGCTAGTTTGGACTGGGTGATCCATTGTTGTGAAGGACTGTCCTGTGCTTCTGGGAGATCATAAGAAGCATTTCTGGCTCCTATTAAATGCCAGTAACATCTCCTTCCCTGGGTCATGATAATAAAAATATCTCCATATATTGCCAAATTAGGTTTGGGGGCATTTGAGAGATTTCCTCCGTAAAACAGATGTTTCATAGTTTATTTGCTAATGTTAGGGTTTCAATGCCCCTAGGTCCTCTGGAATTAATGTGAAAGTTAATTGAGCCACTAGAGAAATTCAAAAGTAAAGAATGAATGGTCATACATCACCGAAGAGATCACAATCATGGAATGAACAGTTTTCCAAACCCCACCAAAACCAGTGGAAACCTATTACCCCTAAAATCCATAAAATTTCTCATCACTGCTATCCTTTACTCCCCCATAGAAGTTTGGCGAAGTTTTAAAGTGCAAAGCAACTTTTATGTTTCAGAGTCCACTGTAAGTCCTAACTGATTTCTCAAGTTCCTCAGATACCTTTGCATGCAAAAAAAATTTTTTTTTAAAATTTAATATGAGCTAATGAAGGGGCCAGGGATTTGGTTCAGTGGTTCCACTGCCTGTCACATAAGCACAAGGTCCCGAGTTCGATTTCTGTGCCAAAAAGGAAAAAAAATGAGCTAATGAAGGATTAGAGCCAAGAAACATGAAGTTTTAATTAGTATATCCTAGCTCATTACACTCTTATTTCCGGTACGAGATACTGTGGTCAGAAGAAAGGACAGAGGAAAAGTGAATGCTTCAGGGCAGTTAGTGTCTGTATTAATATAGATATGAAAGTGTACACATAGCTGTAGGTTTGCTATTCCTAAACGAAGATGCTAAGCACAAGCATGTGCATTTGGCTCTCCTACTCATAAATCTTCAAAAACGTGCTGGCAAATGTGCAGAATCTAAAGCAAGAACAAGCTTCTGATTACCTCATATCACTGTCAGAACAAGTAGAAACTGACCTGTGTGTGGATTAAGAAGGATGCTTCCCGGCGGGATGCCTGTGGCAGCTTCAAGTGGAAGGAGGATGTAGCTGGTGTTGTTGGAAGCGACCTGGCCCCCCATTCCATTCTCTGGATAGGACACACAGCCCGGTGAGCTGGCGGCCACCCCTGAGACCAGGGGTGTGCTCTGAAGAGGTGGATGGGTGCGGGACAGAGACCCTGAGGAACCTGCACTGCTGGAAGACTCAGAACCTGGCAAAGGGACAGGAATTAACACATCACCAGGTGCACGGCGAAGAGGAGAGAAAACAGATTGTGTGTATATGCTCAATTTTTATAACCGGTCCTTAAAATATTTGAGGTGCACGTTGCTGGACAAGATTAGCTAACACCCATTCCATATGTTGGGCTCACATTTTATTGAGACCTTTATTATTAATTACTTTTCAGATGTGTCAATTTTCTATGAAAATTGGTAACAACAATGAACTCTCTTTCACCCTTCTCACATACCACTAATGTGAAAAATTGGCAAATGGTACTTTAATGCTCTGAACTCATTACCAGCAAATTCTCATGTTCTTGAGTCACTGGTGCCACAGAAATGTCTGAATTGATGAAAACAGTAGGAGTAGGGTGGGGAGTAGAGACTATAGCATAAGAAGTCCTAAAACACAATGTCACATTCTTGGTTCTTAGGTACTATTTCTTCAAAACCCGTACAGTTGAATTTGGAAGCATGGGTCTGTGGGGTGGTGGTGGGGGGTGCGTGAACGCTGAAGTAACACATGCGAACCAAAGCATGAGGTCATTTGGGCTTCAGAGAAATGATGTTCAATCACTGCCTTACAGAACGTTCTTCTCTCATCTCGGGGGAAAGCAGTGGTGTCAATAGGAAGGAGGATGTGACAATGTAAATGACTTGAATTCACAAGTTAAAGCAAAGAGAAAACTGAAATTAGTTTAAACTCTTAACACTTGCAAAAATAGACAGTCACATTCTCTTGAAGTGGTGGCTCAGCAATAAACATGAATCTGGAGCTTAGTCACTGGCCTTTCCAGTCAGTTTATAACTAGCTATGATGGACTTGGAAGAATCAATCATCTAGATGATGTGAATAATATTCTGCACTACTGAAAGAGGTGAGAAAAATGGATGCTAGCAGTAACAATAAAAGGCACAGGATTAAAAGGGTTTAAAGATTTAAATAAATTGAAATGAACACTTGAAAAATTTAGGATTTTTAAGGGTGAGAGTTAAAGTTCTCTATTTTTTCTGTTTTCTTTCATGGAGGTGTAAGGATAGCCACAGCAAATATTTAAGCTGCATGTCTGTGACAAGCATTGTAGTGATCTCTCCATAGGAATAGTCTCACCTAATTTTCATAGCAACATCACTTCAAAGATGAGGACTGATTCTCAGGCATGTCATACTTTAACTGATGCTCGCTTAGAAAGTGGTGGAGTCTGAGCTTAAACCTGTCAACAAGCTCTACTACATCTGTGGCCAATTTTTACTCTTAGGTCATTTTAGGACAATCCAGCGAGGGCCAAGACTTTGACCAAATCTGTGCTCAGTTTTAGAAGATATTAGACAAAATGACCGTGCTACTTACAGCGGGATGCTCAGAAGCTAACGCTGTAACCCTTAGAGGCAGCTGTGCAGAGGGAAAGAACTCATTAGGGTGGCTGGTGAAAGGCTGGTAAATCTCCCAGCTTCTAGCCAGCTTTACAGTTCATAATTAACTTTTTTAAGGACCTGTGAGCCAAGCCTTTGAAATGCAATCATCAAGAAAGATAGATCCCAAGTTTCCCTAGGGCAGAGCCCAGTGGGCATGGGGTGGGAGGGTTGTTAGAAATCTAATCTCCAGAAGCACTAGTTATCAAACACATTAACCGCTTACACACACTGAGGAATCTCGTTTCTAACATCTTTCAAAAGTTTTCCACTGCTTATTCCAGTCCTTTAAAATTCCCCTGCCTTTTGATTCAGTGCAGCTGGATTTGTCCCCCTTCTGTGGTAATAGCCTTGACCCTTAATTCAATTGTTATGGGTAAAGTTTTCTTTGACTATTTACCTGTCCAGTACATTTTGTCCTTAAGGACAGAATAAATTTTTATTTCTGAATTAATAATTCAAGAACATATTCCCAGATTTAGGGAATCAGAGTTCAATAGAATAACCCAAAGCACCTAAAATTACAACAGAAAGAAAATATCCAGGATATACAGTAACAAAAATAAAGAACAAGAAGAGGAAGTAGTAAAAAGATGAAGTATCTTTCACTGGATCCAAAGATACTCTGTGACATAGACAAAGAATATAAGAACAGCAAGAAAGCTCTTCTATCTAGAGAACAATTTATTACACCCTGTAAAACTGTTAAAATGAAAGACACTACATCACCAGAGAAGTTAGTTTCAAAGTGTGATTGTCCAACAAATACTACCAGCTAAAACAAAGAACTGTTAGGAAGGCATATTCTCAGGCCCCTTTCATCCTGCTGACTCAGAATCTGTGGAGGAAGGTCCACGGACCAGCATCCCGGTGATTCTGATGCAGGTAAAGTTGAGAACCCCTGTTCTGGAGTTCAAAGAAGAGAACAGATAATACAATAGTGTCATGGGGCCAACACAGGAACTAACAGATTTAGTCTTATTTCTCAACTACATCACCAATCTCAAGTGAGGTTGCAACATGGGTCATTCAAGAATTTTGCACAAGAAGGATGCAAGGGCACCATCTACATTTATGGACATGTGCTGGGTATCTGGCGGGCAGCCCGGGGCCTCATGAGAATGGGCTTCTATGTTTAGAGCTCAGTAATATGCTTTTTACTAAAATGTAGGAAAGCATGTTCCTGACATGGAAAAAGTGCCATTATTATCTATTTAAAGGTAGAACCTGTGTAATTAGAGAACAGTAACTCAAATGTCACACTCCACACTTCGTTACTGAAAGGTTTAAAAAAAGAGTTTGCAATTTTAGTGTGAACAATGAGGTTAAAAAAAAAAAAAGGAAACTTGTGCTGTTCTGAACCTCCATGACAATAAAACTGACAGCTTTACTTCATAAAACCATCTTGGGAAATTGTAAGTTTGTTTTGACATCTTACCTTGATCTCCTTAAAAAAAAAATTTTTTTTTACCTTGCCATACCTGCACCTTGACAAGCTTTCAAATGGAGACACTTAAATTAAAAGATAAAAAATGTCTGAAGCACTTACAATCTGTAATCATTCTTCAAAGAACATGGCATTTTAGCGTTCTTGAAGTGTTTTAAATGTTTCCAAAGAGTTTTGCTTTGGAAGTGATTGGAGGTTGGTGCATAGAAATTGATGATTGATTTTAAAATCTTAAGAGCTCTTTTGGTGTGCTGGAATTTTTAAGTGTACCATTTAAAGTACTTGGTTTCTGCATTTTAAGATTTAAAACTATTTAACCTTTCTTAGTTTACAAGAGTTCAAGAGCACCACAGTGGATTTTCTTGACTTCAGCTGCTGCAATAGTGGGACATGAGAGCAATTAATTAGTAAGAAATCAAGGACTCAACAGTTGGTGAATAAAATTCATAGGAAGAGAGCATAAGCCCACCTGAATCTTTGCAAGGAGCACTATTATAAAAACATACTAGTGGCTGTGACTAAATGCTATTAATTTTCTTCCTATGTAGGAAAACATAAGATAATTTCTTTGGAGGAATTTGTCAACAACATAATTATGTTAAACTATCAGCATAATGACACCGACGTTGCAGATCCTCCTCCTGTTGCCCCAGCATGAGCGTGAAGGCTGATTGGGAAAGTATTCACAGTCCAGATCAGCAGATATCTAAATGGCAAGGGGTTCTCCATGTACCACGTCCTCACTCCCCGGGCCCACTTAGCTCCTGCTCCAGGCCCTTCGCTTTTACATTTCCACCTAAATCCTGACTGAGGTCACATCACTAAAGCACAACTCTCGAACCTCTACCTAGTGGGAGTCAGGGTATCTGCTTTTCTGAGTCAAAACAAAGCATTGTGCTTCTATTAGGTTAAAATTTGTTCAACTTAATGGTTCTCCTAGATCTCACCATTCCTCATTACTCACCTCCTAAGGATGCTCTGCACTAACTTAAATTACCTATCTCAGAACATCACTATTTACTTGAGGGGGGTGGACAGAAAAAAAAAGACATGCACTCAGCAACCTGAAAACTCCAAACTTCTCAGAGACCCCTTTTCTTTGTCTGCAAAGCAGAGATGAAAAACTCAATTGGGAACAATGAAAATGAATGAGAACTAGTGTTTCTTGGGTGAGTATACTTTGCCTACATTATTCAAATTGTTTTGTATATATTGAGGCATTTAGTTTTCATAATAATCTTACAAACTGGTACTATTATTTCCAGATCTCAAATGAGGAAACAGGTACATGTACGCTAAAGAACATGCCCAGGATCATACTAAGGGCATGCTAATACAAGAAGTGAATCTGTTAATATTATAGTTACTTTAAGAATAGTTGTAAGGACTAAGTCATAGCACTAAATTAAAAAAATACTATAATGGAAATAAAGTATTTATAAATAGGGAAGGGAGGAGGGGTTGAAGGGAGGGCAGGGGTAAGGAGAAAAAATGAGAACCAAGACCTGTCATGTAAAGGTACAAGATCCCAATGATGAATGTAACTGTACTGTCTATCTAAAATGTACCAATAAAATCAATGAGAAAAAAACTAATTTCTGTTAAATAGTTGCAATATGCAAGTGCCACAGTAATCATCTTTACAAAAGTGATCTAATTTAAATTTAAATTTAAATAATATTTATGACAGAACTTAAGAAACTTCTGTAAGTACAATCTTGTAGAATTAAATTAGTTATGTGAACATGTCTACTGAGATGCATTGAAATAACATAGGCAAAGAGACTGAAGATTAGAGAGATTAATAATTTGATATAGGCATATGACTAAAAAGAGGCATAATTTAATTTAATTTCCTATAATGTGATGTGATGCAATTAATAACATTGTTATTAGTTAACTGCAAGCCAGAGAGAATGGTAACCACATGGTTTGAGCAGAAACTAGAAAATACCAAAGGACATAAACCCATTCAGTACTAACTACCTGTTTTAGACAGCTTCCCGGCACTTCTGGTACTGGATGTGCTGTCACCCCTGGTCAGCACCGTGATGCCCCCAAAACTTGCTGTCTTGGTCATAGTGGGCTTCAGATTGCGGTGGGAGCTATCAGAGTCTGTGCTGCTCCAGGCCCTCTGATGGTCAGACCATTTGAGTTCATTCTCTGAGCTGCTCTGTCGACTCCCAGACGTTCTCCCTGAGCCATCTCTGTTGCCCCTGGAACATGGTTACCAGAAAGATGCACAGAGACAGAGTTACAGTTCATGAATGGGGTGGGAAAGCACAGAGTGAGGCCCTTCTTGGAAGAGTCAACTCCATGAGACCATTCTTATCAACCTCTTTAATTAAACTGCCTTGTGCCCCCACAAACAGTATCACAAATGCTTCGGTGATGTAAAGACAGATAACACAGCACACAGAACACACACAGCACAAACAGAAAAACCAAACCTAAGAATGTCACATGATCCTTCTGCCAGGGAAGGAGAAACAACTAGAAGAACATGGTATACAATAGAATTGTTAACTTCTCTTGCAGAGAAAATAGGGGGATAAGTTCTCCTGATTCAAAATAACAATTAATTAATATTCAGAAGCTGAAATGATTTTAAAAGTAATTCCAACTAACAAAGAAAAATTGCTTTCACTTTAGCATTAAATAATTGGCCTGGAAGAGTGCACACAAGATCAGAGAAGCTACTTATTAATTCACTTTTCTATTTGATTATATATTTCTGAGTTCACCAAGGCTTTGATAGACAGTATAAATTACAGAAGTCATTCTATTTAACCATAGTAAGAATTTTGTTCAGTGAATTTAAACTTCATAGTTAGGGGAATCAGCCTTGTAATCCTTTCCACATAGGAAAACGTGTGAAAATAATAGTGCTGACACTATATATACCTAGAGTGAAACTTTCCAAAGGGATCAATGGAAATACCCAATACCAAAAACCTTTTTAATGAAAGAATAGATTTGTTCAAAATTCAAATAGAAAAAGAGCGAATGTCATCCTGGAAGTGATCTGATAGCTGGAAGTGAATTTTGAAGACTCCAGTGTACCTTTAAGGAATATGCAAAATTGCATGGATTGTATGAGGAAATTGGATGAAACTTATATTTTAATTGGTTTCAAATCTGTTTAAGGAGTAATGTCATTAATATTTCCAAAGATTTTTCTGCAGATGTAAAAAAGTATCATTAAAATATCCTAAAGGGTTTCATGAATTATAAACAAGTGCAGGAGATTTAAATCCTGGGCAATTAAGTATAGCTCCTAATTTTATACCAGTATGTACTGTGACATAAATTCAAGTCTTAAATCTCATAAAAGTGTTCAAGGGCACTGTTCAACATATTCTTTTAAAAATAATAATGTGTTATTGAGATGTTAGAATTATGCACATCTGATTGAAATACCAACAAATTATACAGAATGTACACAGAACTTTCACATTTTCCTTCATCTTTACTTACTGAACTTTTTCTTTTATTTCAAGAAACTTCAGAAGGTTAATGATTCAAGAGATAATAAAAATGAAGTTCTTTATCTGTGATAGGAGCTTTGTAAAGCAAAGGCAGGAAGTGAAACAAAACTCGCCAAACAAAAAGCACTTTCAAAGGAAACATTGGTTATAAATAGTCATTTTTCTGCCGTCTTGCATAATGTTTTTATATACTCTGTTCCCAGTTCCTCGGAGATGGCTGGTTCAGAAGAAATTAGGCTGTTCGGAGGAAGTCCCCTCAGCAACAGCCAGGTGACTTTAGTCCTTACACTGTGGTATGGCTTGTGTGTGATGTCCCCTCAAAGCCTCATGTAGTATTAGGGGGAGCTTTTTCAGAGGTGGCTCATTCTAGAGTGTGTGATGCTGGGATTGAGTCATGGTGCAATGCTAAACTCACAGCTCTAGGATTAAGGGAGTGCTACTTGCCCTAAATAGTATGCACAAAATAAAGGGGGCAGAAAAATGCCATTAAGCTCTTTTGCTGCTTTTTGCTGCATGGACTGTTGTTCCTCTGCCACTCTGCCTTGGAGGAGCTGATTATGGCCTGAAGCCTCTATGAAGTGTAAACCAAATAAACCTTTCCCCCTTTAACTTTGGGTGCTGGGTATTTTCTCTCAGCAAGGATAGAAAAGTAACTAATACATAGGCCTTTGAAATGAAAGAAAGCCGTGAGAGATGGGGTGTAGGAGATCACCTTTTGAAAGGCTTGGTATTTCGTTTCTGATTGTCTTTCCATGTTCACATTCACCTTCATTCTTCTCCTGTAGTTCTAATTTTGTTGATTTATCTTTGGCAAAATCTGGCTAAATCATTATTTAGTAACTGAGAATGTGACAATAGTCCCATTTGTAGGTTATTTGGAATATTTATTACAGAAAAACCTAGCTTACAGATTCGGAGGTTTACTTAACTTCAACATGTAGGATGCATCAGAATAAAGCTCAATGCGGTGGGAGGTGATCCTTTGTCCCCATCACTAATTCTGCTTAATTATTCCTCTCACTATCGACCCTGAACCTCCATGGGAAGAATCCAGAATTCTACTTGTTAGTGTGGCTGAGAATTTCTTTGAAAAAGTGGTGACAATCACTCTTGCTGAGTACCAGATCCTGTGTTGTAGTCTACTCCCTTCATCCCAGTAGAGGAATTTCTAGAGAAGTGGGAAAAATTCCTCTAGACTTGCAACGTCTCATGATGGATAAAGCAACCTAAGATTTTCTTAGGTCTTTTATTTCTAGGCCTGGGATTTAGCTCAGTGGTGCCATCACTTGCCTTGGAAGTGCAAGGTCTTGAGTTCAATCCCCAGTACAATAAAAAAAAAAAAAAAAAAAAAAAATCTACTTCTACTCAACTCCAAGATCTTTGCATTTTAAAAACAAAGATTTAAATTGCTGCTTCACGGAGTTACCATTAATGGTATTCAAAATACATATCAATTCTATTTTACAATTTAGCATTATTTACACATCAAAATATTTCATAATTCTTTAGCAGATTATTCAACCAACAATTGTTGATTGAAGTACGGAATTGAATTCCAAATCAATTTGTATATGGGATCACAGACTTCATAAAAAAACACACCCACAGTTGCCCTCCCATTCCTGGTCCCAAGTTCAGTCCTGGTTCCCTCCTACTAAAATCCAGGAAAACAATGGTAATGGAAGATATGGCCTTTGGAAGTGGACCTTTTGTAGGTAACTGGAATTTGACCTCAGAATGGTCACAAAGTACATGCTCCAAGTTCTGTTCCTGTGCCAATTGCCAACTAATTGTATTTATTTTCCTTCATTTCTGCATGCTGAATTATTATTATTATTATTATTATTATTATTATCCAAGTAAAGTGTGATGTGCACATTGAATTGTCCTCAAAATTGTGTAGCTGGCTTCTTGTTAAGTTAGCTTCTTGAGTCTCTACGATTGGTGATTTTGGTGAGTGGTGGAATACATACTTAGGATGGTTAACCTAAGTAAATGGTAGGTGTTCAGAGGGGCAGTTTGGGGCTATGTAAATCTCACTGACTTCTGGAGTTCAAGGATCCGTATTTTATCTACATGAGCCTAGGCAAAGTAGATCATAGTGTGTGATCTAGGGTGGAATGATACATTTTATTATTTTTTTCCTCTGTTTTTTCAAGAGATAATACAAAGTTATCAGAAATAATGAAATGTGAAAGACAAATTAAATTATCTAATGACCCATGAGGACGGTATTAAGACTATATAGTACAACCTGTAAAAATAAAGGAAGTTACAAAATAAGAACCTGGTTTTTGTTTCTTGTCAAAGTACAAGCTATAATTTTAGATAAAGCTCTAAATTTAGGTTTACTGCAAAAGATATTTTCTAAGAACACAATTTGTCCAAATTTCTTTGTATTTTCTTTCTTCTAAAATGGAAGTTTTGTTTTTTATTTTACCTTTCTTATAACAGATAAATCCTAATATTCACAAATGCATTAACACATTTAGATATAGTATATCTGTAGGACTGAGTATCCTTTTCCGCAGTATTGGATGCTAGAAAGACATTTAACAAATTTAACAAATGGTGAGAAAATGGTTCCTCTGCTTTCATGGAGCTTTTAGTTGAATAGAAAACTTAAATTTTTTTCATCTTTTCCCCTTATACCACACAGATCTTGATTTAAGTAGTTGATTGTAATTAAAAGGAATATCATAACTTCCTTTAGAAATAAAACCTGTGACGGAAAACAATGCTGCTTGAAATATTGTGATGGACAGTAGTGATCTAAAAATCAGCTGTCCATATACAATCATCACTCATTTATTTTCACTGATTTTTAAATTGGGAATATATATCCAAGTGCAAACTTGCATAGAAATTTTAGCTCAGTGTCAATGAGCAGAGTTGGTTTGAGGATGTCCCATCAGTGTACTGTCAGAGTTAGCCTTGGAAAACAAAATCAGAGGAAGATCCCGGAGGAACTATGTACAAAGTGACAGTCTTCTCTCGAATCGCACATTGTCTGATGTGACACCGCACTAGCCGTGTAACAAACTCTACAAAGAGAACCGAACAAACTTTATTTCATGAACAGAAATATTTTACACTAATACACTTATATTTAACACTGATTCTATCACGTATTCTGAAAACACAGTTTAAAAAAGTAAACCATACCAACCGAAACAGCTGTCTTTTCTTATAGGTCTCATTGCATATGTTATTGTCTTCCAAGAGCCTACTGGAAATGAAAAACATGACTTTTATGATATGAAACCTAAGAATACCAAGGGCCTCATGTTAAATGGATGTGTACTCAACTATAGAACACCTTTTCTTGTAAATCAGTCCCAAGTAATTATGTTTATTTGGCCAGTGTTGTATTCGGCATAATAAATTGATGGCTATATGGCAGGAGTAAAATCCCTGTCCTAGGATCAAAGCACTAATGGTAAATAAGGAGCAAAAGAAGAAAGAGCAAATGAAAGAAATTAGGAAGAGCAGAATACAAAAAATGGATATAGATATGATATTTAATCAAATACATTAGTTGTGCTTTTTTTATGGCAACACTAAAGTTATGTTTTCATTATTTATTCTTGGTGAAATATTGACCTTCCAGAGTGGAAGTATCCAGGAAACATTTTTATAGGGGAGTCATTCAATTTGAAGTTTGATTCTTGGGACCATCAAGAATTTTTCATACATTCAGTGTATATATCTGGCAAATTATTGTAATATTGATTTTAATCTAATTTGAATATATGGAACATTTAAATCTAAATGAATAGAATTAGAAAGTAAGTAGAAAAACATGATTGTTAGAACGTTAGGTAATGAAATTTCCCACTAAAGAACTTTAAGCGTTCACATACTTTTTTTTGGTATGGGTATAGAATTTTGTAGTGCTTTAGAATCATCACCAAGATGTTAATACCCATGGATTCATTTTAATGTATATAGGGACTATCAGCCAAAATGTGTGTGAATTTTGAAGTTGTTTTTAAATTTTTCCTATGGACTTGTAATTTCACTTCAGCTTCTAAAAGAAGCTACTCTCTTGAAGCATTTAGTTATTTGTACATTTCGAACTGCTAAATAGAAATGATGAATTTTTCTCAGAACTGACATTGAATCAGTCTCTATTTGAATCAGTTTTATAGAGACCCTCATTAAGCAGACACCTGAAATAAAATTAGCTACCTCTTTTATTTATGAATACCATATTTCTAAACCAAGTTGCTGAATCTGATACTTGTTAAATGTGATTAGTTCAATTAACACGAATTCCTTAATTTGTCCTGATTATCTGCAATCAAATAAATGGGACATTTAATACCTATGACAGTTTAGAGCCATTTTAAAAAGGTATGTATAAAGTTTGAAAAATATCTGTTCTTATCCCAAAGACAGTCTATAAATTTCATAACCATTTTGTTTTGCAATTACTTCCCTCCACTAATAAGCAAGGTTCACAGCCAAATCTGGTTTACATAAGAGTTTCATTTTAACCTTTTATGAAGAGTAGCAGATTGTTAAGAATGAGAAATTTAAAGTAATATTATTTTAGTATTATTTGTATTGTTATGTACAATTATAGACACAAGAAGTGACTAATAATACCAAACTTTAAGTACTTTTAGCAGCCTGTGCAATAAGCCAGTGAAACAACAAATTCCTGTGTGGTTTCGACATCTCACCATTTTAATGCTGAACAAAGGTAACAGGAATTTCACCTTTGGAAGAACCAGAAACTGAAACTTTAAATAAAGAAAATACCTCAGTCTCTGTTTGAAAGTGATGGAGAGAACTTTTTCCCCAAATTAAATACTTTTTAGACATGTTAAATAACACACATGTGTGAAATATATATATGTGTGTGTATGCATAGATATATGTATTTACTTATACATATATTCAAGCACATACTTATATATGTGATATAGATGTATATGGAAATATACAGGACACACATGACAGATTGTTCCTCTAACAACACGTGAAAGTAAATTTCATTTTACCTGTTTTCCACAAAAAGGCTTTCCTGGGAGCAAACTGACTGAAAAATAGAAAAAAGCATTGTATCAGACGTTCTGGATATGCTGAAGAATCCAAAATCCATGCCTGATTTTAAAACTACTTAGAAAGATATGTACAAAAAAACGGAAATTTAAAAAAAGAAAAAAATAGGTTAGAGTTAGAAGAATAAGCAATTCTCATGCAGCAATGGGGCGGTTTTCCATCAGGACTCCTCCAGTTTTAAACAGAATAGACCCTGTGGCGCATCATGGTCAGAAGAGAAATGTAATGGGACTGCTGGAGAAATGTATCCCTGTACTTGAGTGAGTGGTTTTCTCTGGAGCTGTGGAGGTACAGCCACCAACAAAAGCCAATGGTGCAGGTTCACATCTGAGCAGAGCATGCAAACTTGACAGGATCCACTGAGGAAAAGTGTAAAGCCACACTTCTTTAATTACTCCCTGGTAACAATAAATTCTCATGAAAGAAAGAAATCGACTCCAACTTTCTCAGAATTGAAGAAATGTTATCAATTATCAATCTTAATTAAGAGGGAAGGACAGAAGACACGTTTTGACAAAATGAAGCTAATTAGAGAAAATGTCAAGCTCCATCTTATATTTTTTAGTTTTTCACATACAAAGCTAACGATGTTTTTCTTTTACTTTTGTTCATTCTTTTGTTTTTCTCCAATCTGTTTTGCTGTTAGTGGTTTTGTCCCTTGTGATACTGGGGATTGAACCCCAGATCCTTACATTGAGCTATATACGCAATCTCCCTTATTTTTATTTCCTTATTAATTTTTTAGATAGAATACTTCTAAGTCACTCAATTGCCCAGGCTGGACTTGAACTTGCAACTCTCTTGCCTCAACCTCCGAGAGTTCCGGGAATACAGGCCAATGCCACTATTCCTGGTTTCCAATCTGACATTTCATACACAATATAGGGAAGATGGAATTCAATTACCATTACATGTTGAGGAAAGGTGGATTAAAATTTTAAACAAACAGAAAAAGTCTAAGTCTAAACAGAACGTCGTGCTGTGGTGATAAAATATAGTCATTGCGTTTAGGAAGTAACACAAGACCATTTTGCAAAGTATTAAATTTATATAAATATATATGTACCATATTATCTGTAATTTTTCTAAATGATGAATAAACGATATTCTAAAGGATAAATAAAAATTTAACAGGTCCATTATAAGAAAAAATAAAAATGAAAAAGTATTAATGACATTTCAGTAATTCTTGAACTAAACGATGCATCTAATGTGACTACTTCTCAGAGAGATAAGCAGATACTGTGTTCTCTTTTCATTTTGCTTCAGAAATTATTCCTCCCACTAAGCCAAAGGGCTAGATTTATAAGAGGTATTTTCCTCACTGGTCTGAGCATTTCACTCAAGGCATCTCTAGAATCATCTCTATTTGAATCTTTCTATATTTGCACAGCACCCCAAATCTCAAGTGTTCAAAAACCTTGTTTAATGAAAAAAAAACAAAAAAACAAAAACCCAGCCAATTAAAAGACAAACCTTTCAGAAGATAACTTTTCCAAAATGGGAAACTTGGAAGGGAAGCAGATATAAACGTATATATGTAAAAGGATGTACCATCATCATTGTTTTTTTAAAGATCTCCTTATAGCAAACCAAGTATCTTATCCTCTTTATTTCTTTTATTTTGGTTTTACTACTAGCTGGAGTCAAGTCAAAGAATGGAAAAACAGTGAAGTAGTTTCAAATACACCTTACAAGGTCAATGCTTTGCTATTTCTCAGCTCTTGTAGTTGAAAAAAAGTCAACTAAGTTCATAATGTTCCGATTAGGTTATGGGATTATTGAGGAGCTACATCTTTAAAGAAATTATCAAAGGCATACTGACCTCTTCAGACTTGTTAATCTAATAGCATTTGTGGAGAAATTAAGCATTTCAAACTCTTTGAATTAAAAAATAAGACACTGACAAGTTAAGGATGCTTCTCCCACAATTATATTTCAAATAATTTTGTATGATTTTTTGGGGAGTGATTTTTGCGGAAAGGTCCTTTAAAAGATCACCTCATCACCGTTTCACCACAGTTTCATAAATAAGATAGAGACATTTATGAGCTATGATTCAGTAGCTGATGAATATAAACTTTTTAAAAAGTAGTATTAATAACTTGTACACTTAATAGCAGAGAAAGATAAAATTGTCACAGTAATTAAGTGCAACATTCAAAGCTGTCACTTATATGAATTCCCAGATATAAAAGGCTCCCTTTTTTAAAGAAAGAAAAACGATCTTGCCTAATGGGTTGCAGAGTTCTCCCCCACGTCCCACCCCCAATGCTTGATTGCTCCACATGCCTTCCATCTTTTCTCCCAGAAGAGAGAACCCAGCACATGCTAGCAGGACCACAAGGGAGGTCCTTCCTGAGTCCCTCTTTAAGCAAATTACCTTCTTGGCAAACACACATTTCCCAACTGTGTTATTTCATCAGCCTATACCTCCCGAAGTTAGCAATACCACAAAGAATTAACCATAAAAGAAGCTTAAATTTTTGCCAAAGAAAAAGGGAACACCTTATATATTACTCACTAACATATTCACTTATCATTTGAGAACTAAATTCCTCTGTACTGTTATAACTAGTTAGTTCTCAATAATTTTTTTCTGATTTCAAGATACCAAAATTTTCAGACTCTGCTTGAAAGCTTTTTCTAGAAAATGACCAAAGCAATCTGCGTATTTTGATTGTGTGCACACACGGAAGACACAACTGCTCATATTCTCACACACTCATACACAAACCTTAGACAACAAGGTACATTTGGAAAATACTCAAACTCATTTCTAATTTTTTAAATAAATTTTACTTTTACTAAAGCATAAATATTAGGAAGTATTTCTTCTGAACTCTCCATTGTAACTTCAAGCAGCAAAAAACATATATTTACTTAATATTTAAATTGATTTGAATAACTTTACTTCTTAAATCATAGTTGATGGGAAAGCTGATTTTGTTGGTTCACATTTCAAATTATGAAGATATTAATGACTTGCTCAGAAAAAGATTAGCTTTCTGTAACATAGTTTCCTTATGCTGGATCCTTTGTATTTGTTTTATAATTCATTTAATACTCTTTAATTATTGTCTTATGCAAGAATAATCTCGTGTCTCAACAATTTAGGCAATAATAATGGTCATGTGGCAATTTGAAAATGCATAAATAAAAGTTCCCTAAAGTATGCTGTCATTATGTAAATGGTAATGAAAAATTCCTATTCTTTTATTTGAGAAAGTTTGTATTGCCATGTTACACCCTTGAGAGTATGCATTAATAAATAATATAGTAATAAAAATAGAATGGCCCCCCAAGTATTCTTGCCTATTCAAAGTCTTGTGTAAGACCTGCCATATTGTCCCAAGACTGTTCTTGACTGTTGTAAGACTACAGGAGAAGGGAAGATATGCCATTTCCAAGATCACTGCAGCTTCCATCTTGGGAGTCTCTCTCCCTCTCCCTCTCCATCAACACTTTTTCCAGGGAAAGTTAAATACAACGTTGGACACCCACCCTATGGGGAAAAGTGAAATCCACTTCATAAAGAATTTAGATTTTCAGACTATTGCCCGTGAATTATTAAGGGCTGCCAATAATAGTATGTGTGATCATGGACTTAGATAACTTCTCAGAGAAATCTTCAGATAATTGTATCCTCAGTGGACAGTTTATACGCAATCTCTGGTGGAAGATTTTTTTTTTTGTACCGGGGATTGAACTCAGGTCCTTGCGCTTTCAAGGCAGAGCATCGAACCACAGAGCTAAATCCCCGGCTCTGGTGAAAGATTTTGAGCTAGAACTATCTTACCTTGAGCTAGAAGGATTCCTAAATTCTTGACTCACAGAAACTGTGAGATAAATAAGTATTTTTAAGTTACTCAGTTTTGGAATAATTGGGCATATAGCAAAAGTAGCCAATGAAAGAGAATACCAGTGGTAAGGGCCTGTCTCTACCTGAGCTTTAGAGGGAGGAGAAAACCACTGGACTTTTTTCCATCTTTCCAGGTATAAGGGTTATAAAACCTTACAGGAGTTTGAGAAACAATAGGGAACTTTTCCTTGGATACATACATATGTGTATGACCCTAACCTCTTACAAATAATATCAGGGTCTCCATTTAATTTTGAAATTCCTAGTACATGAATATTTTGAGTAGTATATCAAATTTAATAACCTGCCGTATTATATCTGGTTAAAAGCAATGCCTGGTACAGGCTGACACCCCATTTGAACTACTAAATCCAGAAATATTGGCTCTCAGAGAGCCTATAAAAGAGTCTATATCTCTATTCCTATAAAGGGAAGCAGCCACATAATTTAAAAGAAGGTTGCTAAATGATGTTTTGAATAGAAAGGACTTGGCAAAATATTGGCATTTTAAGATTTCTTACATTTAAGTCTGCTTTACTTGTGTGAAAATTTCAACTCAGTTGGGGGTGTAGCCAAGCAGTAAGGCTCTTGCCTGGTATGTGCTAGTCTCTAAGTTCCACACACACACACACACACACACACACACACACGGTTAATAGAGCATGTGGCCATCAAGGCTTCAAATGGCCAAGTTTGCCTTAAAGAAATTTCCAACTTGGAGTGCAGTTCCCAACTGTTAGTCTTTTTTGAAAGGAGAAGTCATTCAGACCCTTTTCCCTGTGAGGATCTCCCTGTGCACATGGGAAACAGCAAACAGCATAAGCTACTCCGGTGCCATTCTCATCCTAGGCAAGTACCTTGTGACAGTAGGATTGGTCAGATAGCTCTCAAGTGTTAAGAAATGTGGCACAGCTAGAAAAAAAGTATAATATTAATTATGCATTATCTGCATAATTCATATTTGCTTTTTTATTCACAAACTGCTTGATGTATTTGACTCGCCAGAATCAAAGCATAAGGAAAAATGTTTGTGTGGGTTTTCATGTGTATAAATAAGAGAGAGAGAGGGAAAGAGAGAGAGAGAAAGAGAGAATAAGTAAAAATTAAAAACTCAATCGAATCTCTCCATGTGGGTCTTCAGGAAGAAACATGCCGCTTCCCAGCCAGCCCACTGTGCAGGTGTCCTTGCTGTATCGTGCCTACAATAGATCCTCTATTTCATTCTGTATACAGCAAACACAAAGGCCCACTATGCGTCAGGCTGTGCTTTGCCCTACCACCGATTCTGACCATATGAGTCTAAGTAGATCATCTATCTGCAGAGTTCAATTCTGTCCAGAATTGCTTCCAGACATCCAGCTATGGCAACTTCATTTCCTTGTCTCCTAATGTCAGAACTCAGCCAGATTATTCAGTCCTCAAACTTCTGTTTTAGTGAGTTCAAGTAAGGTGGCCGTGGATTTAAATATGAATGAAATGCGGTGTTGGGAGAGGTAGAATCTTTCTTGGAGCCTCAAGTTAAAGGAAAGACTCCAGCTGAGGGATCAGGGACAAGGGTTTCAGCTTGAAGCCACCACGGACAGCAGCCATCGTCAGCTAGGCTGTGGTCTAGCTGCTGGCCAGAGTCAAAGGCTCCTCCTGACCTAGCAGAAGTAGAAAGGCTGGCCACCGAGAGTGTCACAAAAGACCTGGAGTTTTTACTTCTTCGGAGAAAAGGACCATAACACTTGAGAAGGCTCCAAATCTTTTTTTTTTTTTTTTTGGCATGAAGAACTATGGTGATTGGTTGCCCATTTTACTTCCTTACATATGGATTCAGCCTTTACTTTTTTACTTTTTATTTTTATTTAGCTTCTCAACTGCCTTTTGTCTTATGGGTAAAGAATTTAAGAAATCTCAGCCACATTATTTTCTTGGAATTTTAACAAAACCAAAATTTTTAATGATTATTCCTTTGACAAATTGTTCCCGGATTTCATTGGTGTGGAATTGAGCATTATATTGCTATTATTATCACTATTTTATTAATTATTGTGGGATTGGGAATTTAATGGCACTAAGCTATATACCTAGCTCTTTTATTTATTTTATGTGTTTGTGTTTTTAATTTTTAGACAAGGTCTTGATAAGTCAAGTTGCCCTGGCTGGTCTAGAAGGGGCAAATCTACCTCAGCTTCCAAGAGTGCTGGGATTACAGGTATGTATCACCATGCCTAGTGAAATAAGCATTATTATCTAACTTTAGTATAAGGACCTGTCTGTGTTTACTAAGAACTCAGAAAGTACTGCATAAATATACACACATGTATGATCAGTAAACTCAGTTTTGTAATTCTTTCCTATGCACAGTGCTGATCTATAAAATCACTAATAGCTTTTCTGTGGCCTAACATGGATGTGAAAGTAGTTTCTGCAGCTCTGACAACCCTCTCCATACAAAAGGTCTATTTTTACTGACTCAAATTACACCTTGCTCCACTCCTCTTGGTCACACCCAGCCCTAGTCTCCAATTACTTCCCTAAACCAGAATCTCTTCTAGAAATACCTCTCAGCTTCTGCAGTTCTATTTGCTCGCTGGCTCTGGTCTCCTCAGTCCCTGCCAGCTCACTGTTTGGGGAATGAGACTGCCTTGCTGCTGAGGGTAGAACCACACTAAAGAGGCAATTAAAACAACTACTCACATCGTGTGCAAATATTCTCTCCCTCACTCTCTGATATTCCTCTTCTCTCTCTTCAATTGATTTACTTCGTCTGTCATCTCTAAATGGATGCATTCTGTTTTTCTGAACAGAAAAAAGAAATCAGGAGGGTTATCCAAGTTGAGTTGATAGAGATCTGCAGTTAATCAACTGTCAACTAAGAACAATAGATGTTCATTTAAATAAGTGGAGCATGATAATTCTCACTCCTTCTAGTCTCTAAGGAGAGTGTTGGGTGAGATACATGGACTTTGTGTGTGCATAGTACATAGTGATGGGAACTGTTTACTGCTCCTAGCTGCTTCCTTGCTGGATGTATTGGCATAGGTATTTCCAAAACTAACATACCTGAGGTGTTCAGCCAGTTTGGGTATGAGGTGGCTTACCAGGGACCCACTCTGTTTCCTTTGTTAACCTGCGTATTTCTGATTTAAAAAAATAAAGGAAGGAAGGAAAGAGGGAAGGAAGGAAGGGAAGGAAGGAAAAGGAATGAAAAGTGGAAGTAGCTAGTACAAGATGGTGCAGGGAAGAAATAGCTTTGAAAATGTACCTTGAAAATAGCTTCCAAATGTAATTATTAGAGAAAGAGCAAGTGAGTAAAGAAAGCAGGGGACAAAAAGGAAGATGTGGACATTGTATCTTTATCTCCTTTTGTGTTTTTTCTTCGTTCAGAGATTGATTCTGTGAATTGTCTCTGGCATATAAAAAGGGTCTGAGGCTTATAAACTAAATCTAAAACATCTGTTAGTTCCTAGGGGTCAATACCAAGTGAAATGAATCAATTCAAAGAACCCAGCATGAGGAATGCTCTTCTTTATCCTCTCATCTGAACTGCTTTTTGCCTCTTGACTGCCCTCCTATCTCCTTTTTGCCGTTCCTGAGAACATGCTCTGCACTAACCACATTCATCCATCCACTCAACAGAGGCTGGCTAAGTACACAACACAGGCACGTGTTTCAGAGTCAACATGAGCCACGGGGTAGCTCAGTGGTGGTGGGAGGAAACGAGATGCAAATGATGAACAAGTTGAAAAAAAAAGTGCATCAGAGATGCACATACTGGCTTCTGGTGACTCATTATTAAAATGATAACTTGACTGAGATGCATATTGTCTTACCTTTAAAAATTCTCTAAAGCAGTGTCTTTTTCTAAAAAATCTATTTTGATTGTCAGAGACACAAAGTATAATCGCAAAGGTATTTATATGATTTTCTACTGTTATTACTTATATTTTGTTTTGTCTTGCCACTTACTTAGTTTTCTTCCTAACCATCCTGAGCTTCTGCATTCCCCATGTAGAGAAGAGATTTAGTAAAGTCTCTTTACCCTTGTCCCAGTACCATGATTAAAGCTACTCTAGAACAACACAGTGTTTTGTCACAAGCAAAATACACAAGGATACAGTTCTGCTACATTTCATGCAAAATGAGCAGACAATTTACATGGACCATAAAACATGGAAAGGAGAAGGGGTGGGAGACTAGAACATGAACTCAATTGTTTTCTGTGAAGACTTATTTTAGGATAGTTGCAAAATCCACCTGTCCTCACCATTACAAGGTTTGTTCTTTACAGCTACACCGGTTGATCATCGGTCCGTATTGATAATCCAGCTCAATTTGTGCACAACTGAAGGACAAAGCTGTAGGGAGTGGAACGACTGCCATAGTTACACAGACATCTGGAAATGCGACTGACAAAGCTTTTCCCCACAGCTCGGAGCCTGTGGCATCCCGACCCCCCAGGACATGCAGCAGGATCTGCGCCAAGCACCACCCATGCAGCCCCACACAGAGCCATTGCTAAAGCAACCAGGACATGTTTTTGGCTGCCCACTGAATGCCAAAGGGGGAGGCAGGTAAAGGCAAAAGGCTTGGAGAGAGCAGGATAATATCAGAGGCACAGGAGAGTCAGGAGGGAAGAGGGCATAACAGAGGAACAGAGGGACGACAAGAACATCAGTCAGCCCACCTTCAAAAACAACAATGTCAGCCACTCTCAAACTTGAGAACCAACCTGATTGTCTTCTTTATCAATACTAGAGTTATCTCGCTTCAAGATAAACCGCTTCTGGGATTCTTCACCTTTTTCATCTTTTAAATGTTCACAAAACCTTTGCTCTGGTCTGCCAGCAAAGTAAAACATATCAATAAAAAAGATTTTTCCCCATTTAAAGTTATTTCTTAGTGTTGTTTTTCCCCCATAGTGGCATTTAATTTTTTAAAAAAGTTTAAACGTGGCTTTGATATCAGAGTTGCTGGCAATATACAGGTAGGTAATAATCTGTCAGTTCACAAATGTCATTAGAATACCTTCTGCTCTTTTGAATTCGGAATCTTGTTTGCTGCATGCTGATCATCATGGCTGAAGTTAAAGAAAAATTTAAAAGGCCCACACATATATAGTGTATTGACATTTTCTTTGCGTACTTTAGACTTACTCCTGAATTCAAGCAAGTTCTCACTCATATTCTTAAACAAATGTACATGTTTGGAACTTGAGAGTTCGTTAATCTGCCAATGGCTAGAAACTGAAAGTATACCTCCCATTACCTCAGTAATCCTCCGAATCCACAATAAAAGATCATTTGAAAGTCACTTCTATCTATCTCCAATGACAAACGCTCCCCAGTCTGACTCCACTAGACTCTGACATTCTTGATCATGTCCTGTATATCAGTCCAGTAAGTGGAAAAACTGTAGATATTTAATTTAAACAACTTAATAATGATTGATTAGTATAGGAGAGATGCTCCAAGCAGTTACATATTATTGCTTAGTTACTTGATTTTTTTGAGGTTCTTTTAAAATTTGGTATAATTGGGCCGGGGATTTAGCTCAGCAGTTCGGTGCAACCTTGCAAGCGCAAGGACCCGGGTTCAATCCCCGGTACCAAAAACAAACAAACAAACAAAATTTGGTATAATTAAAAGGAATGTATGTGTTTCTACATTATCTCCCATAATTGTCACTGCATACACCAGAACGCAATGAACAACCTAGATTTGACTTCAACCACAAGGGAGGTGCTAAACATTTGTCCCGAGTTTAGAAACAGTTACAATTTAGGACTTTCATTAAAATGTCTCAGTCATAGCTGGTGCACTACTTCTGAAAGTCCTAGCATAAGGCGAATTTGTTTTAGACTAAATTCTTTAAGCGGAAAATATTAAAATGAGATTTCAGGATAGTAACTAGAATATAAGATCAATGTAGGCAAAACTTTTAAAAAATATTTAATCATTAGTGCCCAGATCCATGCCCAGAACATAGGAAGTATTCATCTGAATAATAAATTAATCAATGTATGAATTAATGAAAGTTTAGCATGGATAGTCATAAATAACTGTAATTATGAGACAGATTCAAAAAGTCACTGAATAAGGTATGAGGTCATATATACATTTTGTGGTTATAAAACAGAATGAGAAAATCTAGTTAGAAAGAATATAAATTCAAATTTAGAGCATCAGGAAAATCTTTAAAAATTGGGTTTAAGCTTCATGTTGACCAAAATTAATCATAGTTTTTAAAAAAACTAAGGCTACATAGAAGAAAGAAAGGAGGTAGAAAAGAAAATTTGTTTCCTTAATTTCAGAATGTCTCAATTTAAAGTATCAGTTGTTTAAATGTTTTTTCCTTTCTTTATTTGTTTTTCATAGTTGCATATATTCAGAAAAATGATATCACATAAACAAAATGCATCAAAATACTTGTTGATATTAAGGTTAATATTTAGATCATGGTATTTCTTTATCTGATAAAAATAAAATATGCAAAATTCTATCTCAGTAACTACTTTTCAAATCTCTTGATCAAACCTTTTCCAAAATTAGGATGTAATATTTCAAATGAGTAAGCCCTTTATTTTTATTTGAAAAATATTTTGAGTAATCATAAAGTAACCATTAGCAATTGGCTCAGAAAGAATTGTGAAGAACTAAGAAGATTTCTCCAGGTTTGTATCATAGAGAACTATTTGCAACTCTAGAGCTGAAGAATAGTTTTCAGTTTAAGTTCATGCAAACTAAGCTATACAACTAAATAGTAGAGTGATTAAACCAAAAATCACCTGTAATGCACCCCCATACTATAGCTTTTAAAAAATCTATTTTCCAACCAATTTAACACCAGAGAATATTACTTCTAAGCTATCAAATGAATAAAACTAAAATAATGTGTCATGGGCCTATATATACCATGATAAGGAATTACTATTAATGTGATAATATGGGAATGGAACTCCAAGAACAAAATCCTCAAAGCTATCAAAGTTATAATTTTAATTAACTTGGGGATGACTAGCATTTACTACACATCTCATGGCTGTGAGTCACACATTGCCTCATTTTTCACTTTTGGTGGATTTTCGTGCATGAGTATTAGTTTTAGCATTCTCTTCATCATCACCAAAAAGTGCAGAAAATACATTTAATCCTTATTTTATATGGAAAATAATTTTCTCTTCTCAGATAAAAATACATCGTTCTACAACCATAGCACATATCTACTGTGAAACGCATCGCTGTTACGAGGTGAATAGCGCAAGCACATCCAGCCAGTTTCTTGGCATCTCCAAACTGTGAAAAGTTAGAATTAAGTTCTCATTATTTCTTAGCTAGACTTTGCCCAGGGATAGAGAAACTGTGTGGCTAGGGAGGACAATCAAATCATGTCTTCTATTGAATCAATTCCAATTTCAGTTAGATTTTTTCCCCCTTAAAACTTAAAACAGGTGTACACTCACTATTAATATTGCCATTATTATTTTGGATTTCATGTCTAAGAATAAATTCAAAAGAAAAAGTAATACTTTAATACAGTGCTCTATTGTCCCAAACAGTAGAATCTACACTAAGAATCTACAGTGTACTGGGTAACTGGAGGTACATAGTATATAATATGGAGCTTTTAAAAGTGATATCCACCCAGGTGTGGTGGCTCACACCTGTAATCCCAGCACTCGGGAGGCTGAGGCAAGAGGATTGCCTCGAGTTCAAGGCCAGCCTGGGTTACATAGTGAGTTCCAGGTCAGTCTCAACTACATAGTGAGACCCTGTGTCAAAAAAATAAAAAACCCAAAAACAAACAAACAAAAAGTGACATCCAGTACCACTAACTAGCGCATACAATTGTTTTTATAAATTTATAAAAAAGCATTTTTAAAAAACATGGAAATAGCTTGATCATATTTATATAAAAAACTATAATGTATAATAAGAAGGATATTGTAGCCATCGGTATTTCTGGATGGTGAGGCAACAGGCAATTTTATTTCTAACTCTTTATATTTTGTGATTATCATAATACACAGATATTATTTTACAGCAACAGAAAATGAAAACTATTTCCTACCTCAGAAAGGTAGGAAAACAATTCAACAACTTAATAGTGATTTATAACCAATCACTGGATTAGAGACCATTAAAATAAAGTTATATTTTGAATATTGATAAATTATTCTTCCATGGTATGTGTTACTTTATAATGAGCTAAAATAGGTATTAAGATATTTTGTTGTTTAAGCCAGTTCTTAATATTTGTAACACATTGCTACATTAAAAATATTCCAGACTTAATTTTGCTCCCTGCTTCTAGTCTTGGCTTATCACCTTAAGGCCTGCTACTGTGTATAAAATCCTCCTTTTCTGCAAACTCCTCTCTTTATTGCCATATCCTTCTTGATCTATAAACATAGAAAGCATTTGTGAATGATAATAACTAAATGATAATATTTAACTTGACTTTTTCATCTTTGATGATCAAGTACTAAAGCAAAGGTTCAAAGGGGAAGGGAAAGTACAGGGGTGGGGGAAAGGAAGGGAGGGAAAGAAATAAATATGAGAAGAGAAGGAAAAATGGCAACAAAGTTTTTGTAATTATAAGGAGTGGAGAGGTGGAAGGGAAGGAAGATAAATAGAAAAAAAAAACAAGAACTAAAATATATCATGTACAGGTACAAATTCTCAATGGTGAATGTGATCATGATGTACACTTCAAATGTACCAATAAAGTTAATTTTTAAAAATAAGAGAATTCAACCAAGCAATTCATTTTTCCAAGAGGGTAGAGAGGCTGTTTTTCATATGTGTTTTTCTTTAAAAACAAACAATAAATGCTTACTAGTAAAAAATAAAATACAATGATAAAATACAAAATCTGAACAAAAGAAGAGAAACCAGATTAGACCCTGGAATGTCAAATTCATAGCATAAGACCTTGGTTATTCAAGAGGTGTACTGAGCAATACCATTGATGGGGCATACAAATCATAGATCTACTTAGCTTAACAAAACAGGCATATTTCTTCAGGTTTGCCTATAAATTGGCTATTTCTATGCAGGAACACTATTGTTAATGGTAGAAAACTGTATCACAGAAGGGCAACTCTTCAAAATTGTATGTACCTGATCTTATAAAAAATGCCTATGAAACAATGTACATATCCATTTTCAAATACACATTCAACATTAAAAATTTTTCTAGGATTTTGATATTATTTAATATTTTATGTTTTAGCTCATAAGTCCCAAACATCTTTAAAACTGATTTCTGGGGCCAGAGATTTAGCTCAGTGGTTCTGCTGCTTGCCTCCCACGCACCAGGACCTGAGTTCGATCCCTGGTACCAAAAAAAAAAGAGAAAATGATTGCTATTTGAGAGAATATTCAATTACAGGAATTAGTGTATCATTAAGAATTATGACTAGCTTAGAATAATTTTGTTTCTTGTATTTTCAGAAACCCCAATTGAGTTTTCTAAGGAAACCTACAGACAAATGATCTAATCTTACTCTTCATTGTGATATTTGCTGCAATGTGCTTAAGCACGCATTTCTGTCCTGATGACCTTGGATAGAAGGCACAGCACTCGACACGTTGGGCTCAGTTCTTTTCACTTCCAGTTCTTAAGGACTGCATGCTCAATTACAGTATATGAATTTCTCCAAGTTTTATAATTTCAAGATTTTCTCACTAGTAAGGACAAAATAATTAAAAAGATGACTAGACCAGTTAATTTTCCTTCATGTTCTCCATCCTTCTACTTCAGTACTGTATAAAAATGAAAAGGTAGCAATACCAAGATATCCAATGACTCAAAATTCCACTTTCTAAAAAAATGCATT